ATAAATATCCTGTCCTGGACACAATTCTACATTCTTTATTCATGTATCTTGGCTTTCTATATTTGTCTAAAAGACAACTATTTTTAGGCTTGGAGAGCCTGCATTTCAATGAGAAGAAACCTGGCACTACAGGACAATGCTATAGGATAGCATTAATCTTAGATTAATTGGACTTCACTAGTCTTACATTTTTCTATTCCAATAATAAAAGTGCTTATAGCTAAACACTAGCGCTAGTACATAATCAAAATTACGGAGCTGTCTCTTCAGTCTGAAATACAAGAGAGAACTGAGTTGCCACAGTTTTTAAAATCATACCTATTTCTAACTTCTTAAAAAAATAAAATGAATATTGATATGCGTATGATTCATTGGTGCATTACTTTAGCTTATCCTGCCAAAATTCAATTTGAATTTGGTGTAGTTACGTAGATGCAAGTGAGGAGAAGCATTGTGATAAATCAGGCTCATGACTTCAGACAGACATTCTCAGATATGCAAGAAATGTTTGCACTCAAGGTGGATTTTTTTGTTTTACTTGCAAACACCCATGAAAAGTAAAGTTTAATTTTTCTCCCTATATCTAGAGCAATGGTATCAGAAATCTACATACCACAGTAATGCAGCACATATCAGAAAACCTAAAAAATATTATGCAGTTTATATGAACTTAGCCATATATCAGATTTAAATGATTTTTTTTTAAACCATCATAATTTAAATCTAAAAAAAAAAATCAAAGTTGAAAAATATTGCGTAGCAAATAAAAGTAAAATAATCTGGCAATAGAGAGTCTATGTACAATACTTCCTATAAATTGTATGTTTTCGTTGCTCTTGTTTTAATCCTATAAATCATTCACAAAACCCAGATCCTCTTTCTTAGAACCTGGAAGTACAGCACATGTCCCAAATACAGGAATAATGGTAGATACCCCACGATTAATTCTGATTAATAACTAATTCTGATTTAATTGCCTGTTATTGAAACTCCATTAATTAAGCTTCCATGTGTTTTTCCCCATTTTAAAAACCTACCTGTTTTCAGGAAAAAGGACACTGCGTGCCAACTCAAATTTTCACTTAACATACATTTTAGACTGGCATAAAAAGAGGACTGAATCTTAAATTTTAACTTTTTTCAGAGGTCTTGTTCTATCAGAAAACGCAATACAAAAGACTGACAGTCATGAATAAATAGATAGAAGATGACAGAGGGAACGTTACTATGCAATTTTACAAATGCCAAACAAAGCTGAAGACAGCAACATCCTGCT